AGATAGATAGATAGATAGATAGATAGATAGATAGATAGATAGATAGATAGATAGACAGATAGATAGATAGATAGATAACAGATTGCATATCAGGTATCAACAAAGTTAAGCTACTTCAATTGTCCATTTTTGGAGACCAATTTGTTCACTGCTATAGAGCAGCAATTTGGATAGCTTGTTCAAGACTCCATATTCAAATCGACATGGGAGTCCGGATTTTTCTCTAGTCTTCGACGATTTTTTTTCAAGTTCGTTGTTTTTAATTGGTGCTTCGATTAAAAAATTAGTAACTTGATCTTTATCTCTGAAAGGATAATTCCAGTCGCTTAAAAAGTCCAACATCATTTTTCCGCCCCCATCCCATATAGATCTAAGGCTTAACGAATTAAACATTTTGAAACCAAGAGAGAAGGCGCAAGCAGCATCGCACTTCCACAAATGGAAAGAAGCTTTTATTCACTCAAAACGTAGCTAAAATTTCTCTGCGAGAATTGACCTCATTGGCAATGGTAGAACCCACAAGTCATCTTTCATTCTTATTCCTTCTGCTTCGCAAAAAAATATTCCCAACTGCAGAAGCATTCATCATTGTCAGTCATTAACGGACGAACTATTGCAATTACCATTTTCCGACACGCCCTCTCCGTCTCTCTCCCACTTCTGTTTCTTGTTGGCCCAGGGCCCCAGACAGGTAGATGTGTGTCCTTTGACACCGGCCTCCGGCGGAAAGTGTGGGGTGGGGTGGGGGCGGAAGGTGGGAGGGTGGGAGGTAGGGGGAAGGAAAATCGGCCAAAGGACCTCGTCAGGCTGTACGAACCTGACACAACTGCCGGGTGACGATTGCTGGGCTTAGTTGCGCGTGAGAAACGAACGGTAAAGGGTGCACTCTTTTTGTCTCGTGTTGAACATTCATAAATCTTTTGATCTACCCACAAGTTTGGACAGTAAGCTTTCTTGAGCTAATACTAACACTGTGTGAATATTCAGGACCTGTTTGAAATTCTGAGAAAGATAATACTGGGTTTAAACAGTATTTTATATAGCAAGGTTTCGCTTCCTGTAAAGTAATACGGAGTCTAATTGCGTAATTGAATTGGGCTCGATTCAAACCGGTTTCAGGCTATTGGGGATCACAACAAAGAAGGATAATATTTCAACAAGAGGATAAACATTGCATTACGGTAAGAATACTATATTAGTTGCTTGATTTACAAGTTTTTTCGATAGGGTAGACCCTAAGACCTCTTTCAATTAAAGTTTCATTGTTTTTAAAAAATATGTACTTTTAAGATATCAAAATTCCCTTTTCATGTTGTAACTCTCTTGGATACCCTTTCATGAAAAAAAGCACTCGTGCATGTCAATATGTCTACCCAATTGCATTTCAGCACACACACACACACACACACACACACACACACACACACACACACACACACACACACACACACACACACACACATACATGTTTACACACAGAGAACGACACGCACATACGCACCCTCCTTTCGTCCATATCTCGCGCCTGTTAACAAGTCCAAATAAAAATTACAATATTACATACAACATTTTGTATCTCCCTGCTTTACCATACTGCAGCGCCGTATTTTGATGGATAGGCATATACATTTGCTGTAAGTTTACACAAGTATTTATTGGCTGTGTATCAAAATAATCTTTTGCGAATTGTACAGTTGAAAGGGTTTTCTCTCTTACTCTGTTTTGTGTAGAAGTTTCACCACCTTCTAGATATCATAAGTCTATCAATATGTGAAATGAGCTGAGAGAAAATATTCCTGAAAAAATGAGAAAGAACAGTTAACCTCCAAAATCAGACTCAAACCTGAATTCTTTTTTAAAATGTTGATAAGATTTAGAACAACAGAAGGAAAACCAAAAAAACCAAAAACGATAACAATAACAACGACAACAGCAGCAACAACAATATTTAATACAGCTGCATTAACAACAAGAAAATATAATAAAAGCAGCGTGTACATTTGAAAACTTAGCAAAATATTATCATGCTCATTCCTTTGAAAAACAAAAACAAAAAAGACACTTAAAGTGTTAAAGAGAATAGGTAGCAAACATCTTACCTGTAAGGTACGTATAAACGATCAAACTAAAACATATAAAGTGTAATTGAACTGGTGCAAGACACTTTGTCCACTCGAGCTGCATTATAATAAATGCTTGTTATTATACTTCTCTTATTTGATAACAGAACAAGATTTCCTTTCTGTTATGTGCTTCCAACGAATGTAATGCCTGCCAGTGGCAAGTACTACTTTTTAAAAATAGAAATACCGCCCCCCCTCCCCTTCGGACAAACCGTGTGTACACTAAGTATGACTTTCGCTTTTTTACACGGGAAAGTATTTTCTGAATGGAATAACTTCTGAAAATTGAGGCTTCAAAAGGCTAAGGTTGTGGGTTGTCGAATGCATAAAAAACCCCCCTACGTCAGATTTCTGGGTGTTTAAATTAGAGGTATGCCATTTCAAAGTGCTTAAGCTTCTTGATATGCTCCCAAATAATCAAAAACGGTTATTATCACCTGCAGTTAAGACCAATACTACAAAGTTATGAGTACAATGATTTTAGCTGACCTTGCTGTGACTCTTAAAGAAACTAGTTTGCTAGTAGTTATAAAACACGAGAGAAAAAGATAAAACGGAGATTAACCTTTACAGTACATCCTCAATTTTAGCCCAGTAAGTAGATTATCTCCGACAGTTACAGCCATAAGCTTGATATACTTCTTTCCGTATATGGTTTTCGTACGCATGTATAGGAGATGGGTTATTGCTCTATTTTCCAAAGGGCCAAGGCTCAACGACATCTATAATGCGATATCTTGCACTCTTGTGGAGTTCAATTCGTCACAAAATTAGTAACAAAACGTTACATACATTCTCTGTGGGGGTGGTGATCCGATTTGTCTCCCCAGACGCTCGGAACACTACAGTTTAAAAGCATGTGAGACAAAGCGCTATCATCTCTGACCCATACGATATACAGACCACCCTTTTGAAGTTGGGCAATGAACTACTGTAGCATGCAAATGCATTTAATAAAGATTGCAGTCCTTCTTGCTATCGAATGAAATCCAACCTAAAATCTTCTGAGTGTGAGTACTGAGTCTTAAATGATGGTCCAGGAAGAAACAATGCAAGTATGTATTTCAGGACCATGATATCGATTTCACGTCGTAACAAAGTATTAGAGACAAATGAAATTCATATGACACGTATGTGGCTATAAAGGTGGTGACCATTTTTTAACAGGGCAAAACGTAGTGAAAAGAATCAGAGTAAGAACAAGAGTTACTTATTTTTAAAACTTGAACAGATAGTCATTTGAAAGTACAAGAATATTATTGCATTTTTAGAGAGTCCAAGTAGAAAATTGAATGTCCTCCGTGGTCATCGATATTTGTTTTAGATTTGGTATTTGCAGTCAAAAAGAAGATAGTTCTTCTAGCTATTGCAGCAGGAAATGACATTATAAAGAATACATAATTATTATCAGTTGTGTATTTTGGGTTAAAAGAATAGCTTCCATTTTTTATTCCTTCTTATTGACAGCAAAGCATGGAAGACAAAAACAGAACAAAAGAGAAAAAATAAACACACACAAAAGCCTAAACTCCCCCTCCCCCAGTTCATTGAAAGCGTGCTTATCTGAGTCTTGGAAACTGAAATTAAGTTGGTAATGTGAGAAATGCAAACTCAAATCTCTTCCTCTGATCAGTACGGTAGCTCGCTGCTTTGTGTCTCTTTCATGTTAAGTTTTGAAACATTATAGTTTTATACTAACCCCATCCTTTTAGAAAGTATCATTTCAAAATAATCATTAATCACACCCAAAGGAGATACAATTTACTCCGAAGTCGTGTTGCACACTTGAGAAATCTTATAGCAATTCACTGCCTTCAATTCAGCATCATTTCACTTTGTCCAAAGCATTCGAAACAGATCAGGGTCTATATCTGAGCCTGCAAGCATCAGCCTTTTAAAACAGATATTACTATTATAATCATGTTTTGACTCCCCCATCGACACAATTTAGATAATTTAGGAGGCGGGTTTCCGAACCTGACTGTCGTTGTCCAACCCCGGCTGAAACGGATCCCAGTAGAAAGACCGAGATACTCGATACAAATTCTCCGAACTCAGGAATCGAACTCGTGTTCCCCTTACCGCGACACCTCAGACGTTGGTCAAACATGAACGAAAGAAAAAACAAACGAAAACGATTTGAGTGTTTATACCGTTTTGGAGTACTACGAGTCACTAGAACTCTTATGACCACGGCTTTTTTTTTAAGTCATGGTATTACATGTACTTTTGCGAAAATGTGACCTTCTGGATATTTTTTTTTCTTTTCCAAGAACTCAAATTCCCTAAAGTATTGCAATGGCGAAGACGAAAAGCATTACACGAGAAAGATGACCCAATATTAAGTAGAAAGTGAACATTTAATCACGCTCGCCAGCCTTACCCTGTAAAAGTCTACGCGAGCCCCCATTCTTATAACAAGTCAAGAGCGTCTTCCGCACAGGGCGACACAATAACCCACATGTGGCCCAGCAGAGAGAAGAGACCCCGGATGTACATAGTAGGTCAAGCAATATAATATGAACAAAGGGTGTGAAAAAAAAGGGGGGGGGGTTCAGGCAATCATTTACCCTTTGCCCAGTCTCGCAGTGTCTTATATAATTGGCTTACGACTGTGCGGGCGATAGTAATAAGTGTTCTTGGAAAATTACTTGAGAGCAGAACGAGCTATGTCATGACGCTTAATGACGAATCCTATTTTAACACCCGGAAGATTGATTATTCATTCTTCTTCACTTTGGCTGTTTCAGTAGCTGGAGTACAGTATAGTGGCTTTTTTGTTGTTTTTATGTAAGTATGGATTATACATTTTTTATGTAGATTGCTGAATACTTCTTGTAACAATATATAATGAAGGTTTAATAGCATTGTGTGCGAACAAGAAAAATGGTACAATCGGGCACGTATATCTGAAAGTAAAACTTGCTTACAAAGAGGATATTTCTTGCTGCATATTTGCACTTGGTGTTTTTTTCTCCTACTTGAAACGAAGTGAGGCAAAATAAACGATATGTAGTGTCGTCGACCCTGAGACAAGGAATAATGAATACTTCATAATTTTAACCGTTATACATACAGCCACGCCACACAATCAGAGTTTGGATACTTTATGAAAGAGCTGAGGTTGTCTTTGAGATCTTCTTTCTGTTAGAAAGTCGATGGACGCTTTTTCTATATCCGGCCCCAAGAATCACTTCCCTAAAGTTGAAAAAAAAGCTTGAAACTTATGCTCTGAATAATATAATGTGTGTGACATCGTTGTCGAACCATGCGCACGTAAATATAATGAATGAAATCAAAGAAACCATAGCTTTTCCGCCTATAGGGCTAGTTTTATCAAATGGCTTACATTATTTCTGCGACTAATTACAAGTACAGCCTCAACCCCTTTAGGACAGTGACGAATCACAAGGCACGTGATAAGTGATAAATAAAGCCAGAAACATCTATCAAACTTGCTTTTTCTTGGAATAAAAATGAATTAAGAAAACAACAACAACAACAACAACAACAACAACAACAACAACAACAACAACAACAACAACAGACTGCCGCGAAGAGCCATGAGAGCAACACACAGTATTGTACAAATCAGATAGGTGCCTACATTACTTCTGGGTCAATGACCGACTGTGGCCCCAAGCGTCTGTCAAACTTGGACATCGCAAACAGGTTTGGGTTGGCCGAAAAAGGCGGAAGTGTGTGTTGGGGGGGGGGGGGGGGCATCCTAGCACGTCATTCTTTATTCGATGTTTCGTTTGCAAAAGAAGAAACATTGGTTGGAAGTGTTTGCCATAATTTTCCAATATTCGAAATCGAGAATCAGTTTTAATATTCACGTCAAACTGAATAGGAAAACATGTCAATAATATTGATGAACATTTTTTTTTCTCTTTTTGATTAATAGCATGTGGTATTATACGAACAAGAATAATGGTATAATCGGACACGTATAAGGGAGAGTCAGACTTGCTTACAAAGATGATATTGATATTGGTGCTTTAACTCTAAGGGGAGCATGAATTGCAGACTGTATTTCGTGGTTCAGCTTGATGCGGTTGTTAAGGGGCTTTCCACATAAATTGGTCAAGAAAAAAAATGCCGAAGACCGAATCCAGCAAACTGTAGAAGGTTTGTTTTGATAGTATGAAAAAACTTAGCGAATGTCAAGCCACATCTGACTACATGGCCCCATGCGTATTTCGTTAGACTGACAAAGGTTGGGGGTAGGTGTGAAGGATGCGGTAAGCAATACAGCGGTGGAATTCTTCCATCCCAGCATTTTGCTGCTATGTTGCGCGGGAGTTTTAATACACACAAACACACACAAACACACACACACTCAAACTCACACACATTATACATAATGTTTTAAAAGTAATCGTATAACTATTTAAAATAGTAAAATAAATGCTAAACTTTTTTAAATACATGTATATTTATTATAGTATACACACATAATCAGTGAAGTGTTGTTTCAAACAGATTCCGTTTTGGAACTCATGTTCATGTCATAATAGTTTATCATATGCTTGTAGACCTATATATTGTAATGTCCTCTTCCTCTGCTGCCAGTACCAGATCTGAAACAGACATCTCTGGTCACGATTCTCTGCTTATCTCTCTGCTTTGACGCTTTGAAAAATACAGTGTATAACCATTTAGTATCAGAATCTGATTCCGTCGTCCATCTGTTTAAATTCTCCGAATTAAATTGATGTTCTTGATCTACCTCTTTCTTGTTCGGTCTAACTGAAATCAATAATATTATAATATTGATTCTGTACAATGTGAAACTAACGCGAGATACAAAAGTAAGTCGGTATTTCTTCAGGTTGTTGAATGCGGGATTTCTGTGAACGAAAAATAACACACAGAGGTAAAACCATAAAATCATTTTGTTATCAAATATTTCTGAAGAAAAATAAATAACTTAATTCTCTTAATGTCTCGACTAATGTGTGTATTTATGTACATGAGGAATTTATATGCTGTTAACTATTTGGCATTGCGTTTAAACCTTGAGGGAGAAAACCGGACGTTCAATTATTATCAATGTTATTTATTATAAACAAGCGGCTATTGCCCCTTTTCGAAACAGAATCTGCCTTTAAACAAACACTCTAACATGGTGGGTAGGTGG